GAAAACGAGTAGAAGAATGAGAATGCAAATTTTAATGTGGTTGAAACATGGGCTTAAGTTTCAAATTTTCACAAATGTCGATATCATATTCTTTTAGAATATTGATATTATACTTCTCCAGAAGCAATAATAATATTTGTATATAAAATATGATTCTCCATGGTCATTATCACATGCATCAAACTTAGTTAGGGCGTGTTCGATATAGATTAAAATCGGATTAAAATTGAAAAATTAGTCGTTATTGTTGACTTTTATTAGACGAGTGAGACCCAATAGCGGCTATATTTTCAATTTTAATTGAATTTTAATATTTACCGAACGAACACTTAAACTTGTATAAAATTAATTTTCGAGATTAACACAATATTACAGTGATTTTATGTAGAATGTGTGGTTAAAAAAAAAATTGAATTTAAGTGTGAGTGTGAGTTATTTTATTGGAAATAATGTGATTGAAAGTGAGTTTGGGGAAAAATAAAATTGTGAAAAATGAGATTCAACATGGACTAATAAATATAGAAGAGCTATAATATATAATACAAATTATGCTTATTTAGAAGCATTGAAATCGTTGAATATGCAATAAAGAGATTCCACACACACGATATATAATAAAATAAAAAGACTTTTAAAGAAAAGACTGACCTGGATTTTAAAGTTTTACAGAATATTGAACGGTTGACAAATCTTATATTCTTCAAATATGTAAATTCGAAAAAAAAAATTATAGTATCTAAAAAATTCATGACTGTTCACACAACTATTTCTCATAGATGAATCGTTAGATTTTGATCTTAACTACTGAATTTGAATAAAAAAGAGTTGTGAATGTTCCGTCTAAATTTCATGATGATCGAATCACACAACACTGAGATATCAATGCTTTGTTCACAACTGCGCAGACTGTCCAGATTCTGTTAATTTCTGCATTGTTGATTTTGTAGTAATAATACAGTTGTTCCATAATATATGAAGTCACTTCTTTTCACGAGCATCAATCAATATTCTTTTATAATATTAATTTGCACAAATTCATACTTTTATTTATGAATTAATAACAAAATATTCTTTAGAATCTTACGGTGTATAGGTTTATACTTCTTCAAGAATATAAACACAATATTTATCTAGAATATTATTTAAATTGTCACGTTTCACCAAAGTCAACATGAAATTCATCTAGAATATGATTTGCACAAATATTATACTTTTTCAAGAGTAACAATATAATATTGTTTTTAAATATTGTTATGTGTGAATTTGTGTTTTTCATGAGCAACAAAATAATACAAATATAATATTATATTTCAAGCAATACTACAATATTCTTTTAGAATAAGCAATTATATTCATAAAATTTTCAAATAGATCACATCTCTTCATGAGATCCTATCGTATAATGTTATTTGAGAATTATGTTTCGTTTAGGGAGATGCATTTAAATCACAATTTTTTTTCAAGAGATTATGCCCCTGTTTGTATCGATTAAAATCTAGATTTTAATTTAAGTTAAAATCAATAATTCATTTTAATCACATATTTTATGGGTCCTACAACTTCTCAATTACACATCTCATTAACTTCTATCAAAATCTACTAAAAATCTAATTTTAGTCTCCACTAAACAAGGGTTCAATGAGATAATATTATTCAAGACACGTGCTACTTAGAGATCACATTACAATTTCTATTAAATATAGATTATTACTTCTTTAAGAGCATTAACTTTATATTATTATTGCAATTATAATATTGCATTCTTCGAGGGCATGTTATATTATTCCAGAATAGTATAACATTGTGTGCTTCTTCGGGAGCAACAACTAATTACACACATCAATTACAAAAAGTAATAATTAATCAATTGATACAATAACATTATTTTTTTTCATACAAATGTAATTATCTACAATCATCAGTTTCATCACTAATCACAAGAAAACATTAATTTTAATTTAATATATACAAGTAAAACAACTATAAAATATTACTTTTAGGTTTTGTTTTGAGCTTCTTCTTCTTCTTCTTTGTGAAAAATGAATTTATAATAGTGATTTTTTTGGAGAATAAGTGAGGTTAAAAAGTAGAAAAAAATTTGAATTTACATTCAATTTTAATTTATCTAGAAAATGTGTAATTGAAAATGAGTCCCAAAAAAAAGAGTTTTTAGAGAATAAGATTCAAACAATGGCTTAACATAAATTAAGTGATGATAAGATGAAAATAAATTCATTGGAATATGCATCTAAACGCACAAATTATCTACACAAAGCACCATGCAACATATGTTTTCTTTTTTTTACTTATCTAAGAATCTGATAAGACTAAATAGACATCAACAATTATGTTCATAATTTTACAACATATGTTTTTTTTTATTTATTACTTAAATCAGGCCCATCCAAGAAATAGATTAGAATGCGAAAATTGGAAATTACATAAATCCAGGTGTTTAAACAATGCTTTTTTAAAAATCAGATCTAAAGTTTATTTATTCAAAAATCAGGTACTATGTTAAAACCCTAATTTATCACTCTCTACTCCTTCCCCTCTCTCTCGCGCCTCCCCTCCTCTTCCCCTTCAAACCCCGGCAACCGGCAATGAAGGAGCTCCTCTGGTCGACACCACTCCACGAGCCCCCGTCGTTG